GGGGCTCATACAACTCTTATCACAATCCATACATACATCCATTATGTCAAGCACATCTGTATATTTGTTGCCATTATCACTCTCAGACATTTGCTTTCTACTTGAGGTCTTGGTTAGAACATGGTACGTATGAGAGAAGACTTTCAAGCACGGCTTTGAACCTGTTTCAAAGGGCTTCCGTCGTGGGCGGTCCGTGAAATTAGACGAGACTTGAGCATGTGAAATGTGGGGGTGACAGAATGGTTACCGAAAGGGGAACAAGTGCAGGTGACAGGCCTCTACGTGGGAGGCTGGAAAGAGGCACAGGCAGTGGGTGCCAGTCGTCTGGTGCCGGAGGCTGGATGGTCGCCAGCACTCTGGAGAGCGGCACGCTTTGCAAGTATGCCGCTCACTGCCATCTTTGAGTGTGCGGCACCATTGTGTTTGCCGCTGCCTGTCAAGACTTTGGGTTGCTTTGACCACAGTCCCGCTGCTCTTGCTTTCCAAGAGAAAGGTTCTGTGCCTCGTGTTCCCCGTTCTTCTCATTGCGCTGCACCACAGTCTGCACATTTGCCTCCAGTCGGGTTTCGTTTATCAGCTGTGACTGAACCGGAAGAGCCCATTGGAAGACCCGCCTTGAGTTTGCTGTCAATCCTGAGTGTTCATCAAGGAAGATGGTTCAGGCATCAAACAGCCTTTAAAAAAAATATTTCGTTTCCAGGAAAGACCTTTTCCCCCATCGTAAAATTAATCGACACCCTTTAAAAAATTACCAAAAGATCATTTTACTGGGGACTCTTGGAACTCTTGTCACAACCCATACATCGATGGCATCGGGCATGTTTATCCCTATGTTGCCTTCATTATTTTGTGGACATTTACTTTCTATTGAGCCCTCGACGCCCCTTTGGAAGAAGCCAGTACTGGGTGGAACCGAGGCAGATGCGTTGTTGGCTTGAGGGCTCTCAGAAAGAAGCTCAATTGCTTCCTAGTCTCGGTCCCTCTTCAAGCAGGTAGCCCCCTCCCCACAAGTGACCAGGGTTGGGCCCTCTGGCAAAGGCCACCCAGCCCCCAGCCCCACTCCCTGAGTTCCTGCTCTTCTCCCCGGGGTCCTGCCTAGATCCTCATTATGGAGGTCCCGGGGCCCCGAGGGCAAAGCTGACCCTTGTTTGACTCATTCGACAGTGGAGGTCTTTTTTCATAGAGTCTTTTGAATCCATAATGGAATTAAGTAACTGAGTCTGAGTTTCCCTGCCAAGCTGGAAGGCTCTGCCTTCGAGTGGACTGCCTGGCATGTTGGAGCTAGCCTGCTTGTGAGGGAAGGTGGGACAGAGTGAGCCAGGGAAGGAGGAACGCCAGCAGGTAAGCAGACCCATGTCCTAAACTCTAGGCACGGTATATAGAACGAAGCCCAAGACTAAAAGCGGATACCTTCTTAGCTGTGGGTCGTTGTTACTGTGCCACCCCGAAACTCCGGTGCCTGCCACCCCTGCCGGCTGCCAGTGGGGGGCAGTTAGCGTGAGCACCATCCTGCTGGGAGCAGGCTCCCTCCACAGCAAATGAACAGGAAGCAGGAGTGTGAGGGCCCTTTGTGAGCGCAGGGAGGAAGCTCTGGTCTAGGGGTTCAGAAGGCACCAAGTTCAGAGGAACCCGCATCCACCACTGGGCTGAATGGGTTCCAGGACAGGTGTCAGGACCACAGCTGGGCTTTTGCCTCCTCTGTTTATCGAATGTGGACCCTGGTGCTGTATCTGATGCTGAAGGGGCTTCTAACGTGCACTGAGATGTGGCCCCTGTCCTCCAGGGGGTTACAATGTAGTAGCCACCAGGTAGGCATCAGAAATTGTGGTGCAGAAGCGTGAGGGGCACTTGGTAGGTGGCAGGAAGTTGGGTGCAGACAGTGAACACTAAAGGCGCCCTGGTGCACTGGGTGAGCAGGAACTTGAGGCTATAATGGAAGTGGCAGGCACTGTCCCCCGTGGGCCACTTCTTAGTGCATTACCTGCTCTCTGCTCCTGAGAACACTCTGCAGTTCGTCCGCTCTCATCACCATTTTATATGCTGTCCTTAAAACAAAGCCTCCCCCACTCCCTACACTGGCCGTCTCAAAGGTCCACCTTGCTCCCCTCTACCGATTCTGAACCCTAAGACCCAGGAACAGACGGAGCTTGCTGAGAGGCACTGTGTGGCAGGAGGTGCTGATTGGCAAGGCCGTGCACTCGCGTAGGATAAGGATAGAGACAGAGGCGTGTCCGTAGGTGTCATATGCACACGGCGTACATGCATGGACATAGACACCCCAGTGTGCACGTACAGATGCATACGCACTCATTCAGGTTATTTTCAGCCCTCTATAGGGAAGGGTCCTGGTAGGAAACGTACCAGTGGATGGAAAGAGTAGACCCAAGAAATACTTGCAGACTAGAGCCGGGGCCTCGGCGCTGGGGGAGGAATAAAAAGTAAGGCAAAGAGCCAAGGTGCTTCTGTTTTAAAGGTGGTGACAGACCGAAGGTTGGCGCATTGGGCCCAAATGGGGCATTTGCTGGGAGTCCTCTTTGGGAGGGTGGAGGGGGTGGGGACGTCGCGGAGGCAGGGGTCTGCGCAGCCTGAGGTGGCTGTTGGGTCCTCCTAAGTGTGAAGCATTAGCCGATGCTGGTTTTGGTGCTGTCAAGTCCATGGCAAGTCACAGCAGCCTCCCGTGACGGCGTAGGGTCTTCTGGGCTGTGACCTTTACCGGAGATCACCGCGTCTTCTCCCCCAGCCCACCCAGGAGCTGCCAGGTTCAGACCAGGTTTTTGGTTAGCGGCCAAGCCGCTGCATTATGTGGCCCTCGGTGTGCACGGTGTACTCACCTCGCGAGTCCACTAGCGGGGAGGTGAGGGGGCCCTGCAAGGTCGTCGACGACCTGGGAAGCTGGTTAGACTGAGCTCTAAGGCAGCGCTAAGGCACTCTCCCTGGTACCAGGAGCTGTCCGCGTTGGCCGCTGGCAGCATCTCCAGCAGTAAACACATCTTGCTGGATCATGTCACTGAGATGCTGCTAGGTCTTGCCATGCGGTGCTTGCTGAAATGACGGGAACAGCCTGCCATTCATGATTCTCAATAGTCATCCTTCAAGTTGGCTTCGTGTCAAACGAGGCAGTGTGCGCATCCAGGAACCGGGCACAGGTGAAATTGGGTGGAAGGGAAACCGTCGAGTACCTCGGTGCTTATCCTTGTACACAGGCTGGGTCCCACCAGAGGAGACTCTAGAGATGCTCTTTGCTCAGATCGCGTCCATTTAAAGTAAAGGAGAGGGGGTCCTGGCAAGAGAAGAGGCCTGAGGACACAGGCCGCCCACACGGAGGGCCAGTGGGACTGAATCTGAGATGGCCCCTGGAAAGGCCAATAACGCTGATCTTTTTGAGACCACTGTTGAGCAGTTTGAGCCCAGCTATAAAGCTAAAGATTGGCAGTGCAAATCCACGCAGCAGCCCCAGGCCTACTGGTCGACTTCCCTAAAGATTTCAACCAATAGAGCCCCATTGCCCAGTCCTACTCTGTAGTAGATGGGGCAGCCATGAGAGGAATCCACTGGACAGGATGGGAGTGGGATTGCTTGTAGGGTTTTATCGAGTGTATTAACACCAGAGGGACCAATGAGGAGAAAAGCAGAAACCTGCTTTATGTTCAAGCATTGCTTCTGCAAAGGACTTCTGTTTTTTGCTGTGATATTCTATGAAATTCTAAGAGGAACAAAAAGGTGGATGACCGCTTTAAAAACAAACAAACTGTAGCAGATTAGGTGTGGGGAGGCTGTACTTCAGAGATGTAGGGCTGGTATTTTGAAGATTGCATGTATTTGCAACGTTATTTACATCACACCACGTGGCATTACATTTCTTCTTTTTATCAGGGCAGCATGGTGGGTTTTCTGAGTCTACAAAGCTTGTCATTTTCCTTGGATGTGAACTATGATGTTATTTCTGAACAAACTCCCCATAAAACTGCACAAACTGGGTTGAAAGTTCTTCTGGCCCAGAACCTAATGTGTCACAGACGCGTTTGAAGGGCGTTCTGTTGACTCGGTGAAGGATGAGCCCCTTCTGCCGGGGTCAGCTGGAAAGGGTGGCTTGGAAAGCCAGACGCCACCTGTGGGATCCAGGAGCTTCGTGGAAGCCCAGCTTTCAATCTGCAGGGCAAAGGCAGCTTGCGTCTGTGTGAGGCACGGTGTGTCCCAGGCCGTTCCACGAAGTCCTTGGACAGAACCATCAATGCCAGCCCTCGTTCCTGTGCACTAGATTTTAAAGACCCCCCAAAGTTTGGGGGAAGGGATTAGACCTTGCTCTCCAATTTAGGGGGTATGCGAGGGGGAACCTGGCTAGAAAACCCTGGTTATTTGATAGTCTGGCATATTTCTATGGTGTATTAGCAGCCTATAAAAGTTACATGTCATTTATTCCAAGTTTAGAACCCTCTCAAACTTCAGGGGCAAACCAAACTTGAACCCTTTTGAGGCTGGAATTCTGTTTATCTTTGGCCAAACCTTGCTTCCTGCAGGGAGAAGGGGACTCCTGGGGCCCCTAGACTTCAGACCCTTTTGATTCCCCCACAGACGGCTTTGATAGGGGGAATCGTGAACGGACGTGACACAGGTAGATGAAGTTCCCGTGAGGGTGCTCTGGGTCTACCAAGAAAAGCAAATTGTGCTAAGAAAAATGCATTTGGAAGGCTGCCTTCCTTCCGCCCGTCGTAAGGAAGTGTTTGAGGTTTTTGCCAAATGCAGGTTGAAATTGGGTCCAGCCACTCAACCCCCCTGCCCCTCCACCTCCCACCCCCTTATGATAAGCACATTAACTACTTTCCATAAAAGTTACCAGGCGTCCAACAGAGTGAAGGCCTTGGAAAATGGTGGACATGTCTGGTGTCTAAGACATGTCTCTTTCATCGGGGACGGCCATGGGCTCACTGCCAGAACACAGCATAGCAGGGAACCCCTCGCACGAAGGAGAAATACCAAACGGAGTCCCTTGTGCCTTTCAGATAGAGGAGCTGATGAACACCCTGGAGAAGACCAGGCAAGAATTAGATGCCACCAAAGCGCGCCTTGCCTCCACACAGCAGTCCCTGGCGGAGAAAGAGGCCCATCTGGCGAATCTCCGCGTGGAGCGGAGGAAGCAGCTGGAGGAGATCCTGGAGATGAAGTGAGTACTCGCGGTGGCCGCTCTTTCCTCTCTCTTCTAACCTCCTTCTGGCGGCGGCCGTGTCTCTAGATGGCTCGCGGAAGTCAGAAGCAGCTGGAGGCAGAGCCCCGTGGCGATTGGTGCACAGCTCCTAGTGCGCTGGGAGCATTCCTGGGGACCTGCTTCCAAATTGTGACTGTCGCCTTGCTAACGATGTTCTTGATCTTCCTTTCACTTGTGGACAATGCCCAGCTTGTATTGGCTTTCATGGAGTCTCAAGGTTGGCATCTGTTTATTGAGAATCCAGTCTCTGGATCTGCCCCCAGGGCAGCGTGGGTAAAAGGTAGCCTGGAACGTTTTCTGTGTGGTAGGTAAGGCAAGGTTGTGTGTGCCGCGAACCTTCCTGTCTCCCTGCGAGGCACCCTCCCTTCTCTGCCCAGCCCTGATTTCCCTCTGAACATGAAATCGCACAGAGGACCACAGGAAAGAACAGTACAGAAATATTCTAGGAAAAAGAGCAATGGTTATGTTTTTGGTTTCCAAGGAACGCGGCAACTCGAACCAGAAGCAGCAGCCCTCTCTATAAATTGTAAAATGAAATAATCACTGAGACATTATTGAAATCCAACTTCCTTCCACAGTGAGGGGGGGTGTACGTAATTGTGGTATCTTAAGACTGTAACAGAGGCTTTGAAATTGGGACAAAGTATGGGAGCGCGACCTTATCCTGACCCAGCAATCTCACACATGGTTAGCATTAGACCAAGAAGGCTTGGATCATGGAAAAATGGATTGAAATCTTTGAAGAATTTAATAATGAGGACAAAAGATTTTATTCCTTGTCACCTACCTCAGTTTCTCCAAGACCAAAGAGCAAGAGTTTCCCTCCCATGTAAGCGTCCGTTTTCCCTAATGGAAGATGATATCATAGAAACAGATAGCAGCCCTCAGCTTAGAGGTGACAGGACCAGGGTGTTGGTTTTAGGCGATTGTCTTGAGCACATCAGCCGTGATGAAAACCAGAGTCTTCTACCTTCAGGGCCCCTTTTCCTACTTGTTCTCTCCTGGAGCCTATGTGGACTCCACTAAGCCCAGACTCCCTTCCGGTGGGGTCCCTGCAGCGGTCGCACTGCCTGGAGCAGTGACCGGTGTGTGGTGGGTGCTCCGGCACTTTGGGGCCCAAGGGTGATGAAGTGCTGTGGGTGGGTTTTATGCAGCAAAGAAGAAACATATCCCGACCACGTGTGGCCATCTCACCTCCATCAGTGACCAGTCAGTTAAGGGCAGTACTGCGTTTACATGCATGACACCAGGACGGGGACTCGGCTGACCACTGTGCTCTGCTCGCCCCTACCCTCTTTTGCTCCATTGCGTGGTTGTACTTGTCAAGCGAAACCTAGTTTCTTTCATTGTGCCTCAGCTGTTCCCAAGTTAGCGCTGCATCTCCTGAAGTGATCTGCTCCGCCATTGCAAAGACACTTCCATTTCTCCCTGCTTATAAAGAGCAGATCCATCCATCGTTTTGAGAAACCATAGAGCACGCTGACCTGGGAGCCAGGAGATCTGCTGGACCCCGTTGCTGCCACTGGGTGGGCATATGAGTTGGGGAGAATCATACTGAGCTGCAGACCCTCTGTTGTCCGCTGTAGGGGCTTGTCTGGGTGGCAGGGCAGGGAGCCACTCAGGTGAGGGCTTGGCTCAGGGAAATGATATGTCAGCCAATGAACGTAGGTCACTGTTCAGTATACTTTGTGAAGAGGATTATTTATCTGTACTTTGGATTTACTTTTCTGAAGCATATCAGCCTTTGTTCTGTGCATGTTTTCCCACCTAATTTCATGACTTCAGATAGCACCTCACTGCAGCCTCTTTGGGTCAGTTGCGACCTTATTGTGGATGTGCTTAGTCTGCGGTCACTGCAAAATAAATCCCAAATTCCTCTGTCAGCTCCTTGGGTAAAAAGTAAGGTCACCCTGGTTCGTGGAGCCCAGTTTGAACCCCCGTTCACTGTTTAACTGGCTTGCGAGCCCTTTCTGCCAGGCTGTTTCCCTGGGACTCCATGGGGGCGCGGCTGTAGGGCAGTGCATTGATCACAAGGTCACTTAGAATCATCAGCGACAGTCAAGTCAACCCTTTGTTTGACGGATGCTGATTTTTGAGAGGAGTTGACCAACTCGTGCTTATTTGAAGTCACAGGAGACCTGGTGGTCTAGTGGTTACACGTTGGGTTGAGATCTTCATGGCCGGAAGTTCTAAACCACCGGCAGCTCCAAGGGAGAAAGACGGGTCTTTCTCCTCCCATCAATAACCACAGTCTCTGGGGCCCACAGGGGGCGATGTGAGTCAGCACAGACTCGATGGCTGCACATTGGGTGGGGGCGGGGGAGGGGGGTGCGTTGGGTGGTAGTGACTGAGTCAGCATAATCAATGGGAACCATTCCCTGGGTGATGCTGTTGTTGAAGTGCGTGTGTGATCTAGTACTGCCGGTCTTTCCATGCCTGGCAGGCATCAGGCAAACACCTGCCGGCCAGGTCTTCCCTCAAGCTGCTGTGACAATAGCACCACAAAGGGGCGGCTTCAAAGATGAGAAGTGTGTTTTCTCACAGTTCAGGAGGCGAGGCAGCTTAATCCAGGGTGTCCGCCCGAAGGGGAGCTTCTCTGTCTGTCTGTCTATGTGCTCTCGGGGAAGACCGTTATCTCTTTCTGCCCCTGTCGCTCTGGCATCCCCCACCCCCTGGTGATCTTCCCATCTCATGCACACATCTTCTGACTCTGCCCTTGCACCTCTCTCTGCTGCTCCTCACGGCCAAGGAGCGATAGGGTTTCAGGCACACCTTACATTGTGGCCCTCATGAACCTTAGAAAGAAAGTCAAGTTCTCAGGAGGGGTTGCACCTACGCGTGTTGGGTACAGGTTTGGGGATATGTGTATACTGCACACACATATGTCTAAGCCTGGCTCCTGTCCCCTAATTATGAGTGGGACAGCCATCACTCCCTTCCTCAGAAGGCCCTGGCCTCTGAGGTGTTGGTTCCCAGTCCAAGGCTCTGGCAGGCAGCTCCTCCTTCCTGCCATTGAACTCCTCCGCTTTCAGGCCATTTTCCATCTTCATGTTGGCTTCGGGCCTCACAGCACCCTGAGCTCTTTCCACGGGGTGCACGGTCTTGGAAAGATGTTTGGGTCATATTGTTCATCTCAGAGGCTCACAATAAGGGCGTATGGAAGAGTATCATGGACAAACACAATCGCCCAGGACCCTGCACGCAGAGACGGACCCTCCCGGACAGAATGAGAATGCGCCTGCAGGTTGGGCGAAGCCTGCTGCGTTTGCTTCCTCACTGCATGGTGCGCCCTCGGGCCACCAGCCTGGAACTTGGAATGATGGAATGCAAGGTCACAAAGACTCCCGAATTGAGATTACGTATCTCCTCTTTACCTAGAGGTGTTGCTAATCAAAAGGATGTTTGAATGAGGATCTGGTGCTTTCATTCCACTTTGTTCAGTCATTTTAGAATGATTGCAGACGCAAGCAATAGTCCAGAGCAGTCCCCGTTCTCCTCCCCCGGGTCCCCTCTATGGGAACATCTTGCATATTGACAGTTTAAGGGTCACCTTGAGAACCTGACACAACATGAATGGGCACAAGCCAGTGATCTTACTGGGGTTCCTCCAGTTCTGCTTGCACTCCTGTGTGTGTGTGTGTGTGCGCGCGTGCACGCATACGCGTTTCCTGCCATTTATAGATTGATGTAGCCTTCCCTGCAGGTAAAAGACAGGGCCACTCCTTCCTTCACCCCGGGACCCCGGCACTACGCAGGCGTAGCTCCGCCCACATCTCAGCTAGGGCTCTGCTGGCTTTTGTGGTCCCATTGCAAGCCCCCCTCAGCACCGACTTAGGTCTTACTGCGCATGCTCCTTGGGCAGCTCAAGGAACTGTCCAATTTTTAAAAATTCAGATTAATTTTAATTGAAAAAAAAAAACCTAGCTGTTTGTCTTAACTGATCCTCAGTTTCAGGAGAAAATGAGGCTTTCTACTCCCGTAGAGAGTGACAGTCTTGGGAGCCCACCAGGCCGTTCTTCCTGGCCGGAGAAGGTTGCAGGAAGTCAGAATGGAGTAGCTGGCTGGGGTGTGGAGAGCGAGTCACCAGCTTCTCCGGTGATCCCTAGTGGCTCAGAGGGTGACGCACTGGGCTGCTCCCTGTGGCAGAGCAGTGCAAGCCCAGGAAGCTGTCCCAGGAGAAAGATGAGGCCGGCCACACCTGTGAGGGTTTGCTGCGTCAGGAACCCCAAGGAGCGGTTGTAGTCTGTCCTGAGGGGTCCCAGGGAATTACTATTCCAAGTGGACACCCATGAGTCTGGGGTTTTGGTCCATCCAACCTTAAAGCAATCTCTGCCGCCATCATGCATGATAGCAACTCTCCAGGGTAGGATGTTCGCAACCCGCCACTCCAAGGAAAACACTCGGGGTCATCGGTGCCCCGCCGTGTGCCTCCGAAACAAGTTTGAGGGAAATTGGCCCACATGCACAGGTCCACGCTAGCTGTCAGCTCTGTGGGTTCAGGGCCCGTTTTGGTGGCGGCCAGACGGCTGGCTTTGGCTTACAGCAAGAGCAATGCCCGGACACAAACTTGCAGCTGTGTAAGGAGCGAGAGACCTCAGGACAGCGGTGGGGGAGGGCAGGCCCAAAGTGAAGCCAGGTGGGTGGGGTTGGGGGTGGGCACAGCCAAGGCCACCGCTGGGCCAGTGCAGAGGGAGGGTGAAGATCCTGTAGGGACTTGACCTGCGATGGTTGTGAAGCTTTTTCACCAGAGGATTGAAGAGCTAACAAATATCTTTAAAAGAGAGAGAAGAGATTTCTCAGATGTGGTTTTATCTTATTTCAGGGGAATTCTCTTTTATGATCGGCCGTCAGTCCCCTGCCACAAGATTGACATCCAGTAAGCATGTGTCGAATGAAAGGATGAATTAACTTAACATGTTCCTAAATGTTTTGGGTTGTCTTCCCCTCCCAGCACTTAC